AACGTAATCAATGTAATTTGAAATTAAAAGAAAATGTAAACCCAAAAATGTATCACTAAAACATAAACATTTTACCAATATTACCAATTAATGGTGAACTCTTCAGTAAGAGTACACAGTTAAAATTTCTTTAAAAAAAAAATTTCTTGGAAGAATTAGATTTTTTTATTTTTATTTATATTGATATGTCTTTTGTAAAAGTTTGAAACATTATTGAAATGTCTTCTGAAACTGTGAAACAAGTAAGATTACTAGGCTCTTCTCTGGATTTTAAATTTAAGAAATACATAATTTAAGTAAAAATCTTCAGATAATCCCATAGCATATGAGACACAACAGATATCAAAGAGATCACATTTGTGATTTTTCTTTCCTACAGGTCTCAGCATTTTGCACTTTGAAGGTGTAAATATGCAAGTGATGATGTTCAGGCTCTCTTACTCACACCACCAAAAAGGTTATATTCCTTTCCACTTCATTACACTCACAGAACCTGCGTGGGCATCTTTAAATCTTGCACCCCTTATTTAAGATGTGTAAATACTCTAGTGTCCTCTGAAAGCAAGAGTACTAAAAGTTGAAAAGAGCTGAAAACTGGCTTTGATTTAACACCTATGATTCATCAAATGATTTGCGAAGTGGAATGTAACAACAATGAACACACACAAACACAAAAACAAACAAACTCTTCAGAAAACATATATATGTTTCTTATATAAAGGTGTGTTTTAATATAATCTGACTGAATATGAATTTTGTGGGGTAAAGCATAGACCCTTGGGGGACAACAGGTACAGAAGCTCTCACTAGGGCAGTACCCTTTAAAAAAGATTCTGTAATACTGTATGAACCATAGGTACTATATGTACATTTTAGGTACAACTATGTACATGTAAGGTACTAAAAGGCACCCTCTATTGGTAAATAAGGTACAAAGATGTACCATTTGAAAGAGTACTGTCCCAGTGACAGCGTTTGTCCCGGGTTTTTTTTTTTTTTTTTGAGCGTGTACATAAGTATTGCACAATTTGTCTGCAACTTTGCAGTGACAGATGTTTAGCTGGCACAAACACTATGCAATTATGTCAACTGTAATGAAGTAATTAAAGTGTTTTGTGAAATTGGAATGTACCGTTTACATGGGAAACTGATGCTAGTCACACTTTTTACTCCAGTAAACAATTATTTCTGAAAGTCAGTTTTTGTATAGGCATAATTTAAAAGCTCTGGCTACAAAAAAGCCATTCAACATTTAGTCTTCCATATGACACAATATTAATATTCACAACAGTCACAAAAACTTGTTTGTGAATACTTCCGCAGCAGTTACACCGACAATTACTTTGGAAAAAGAGCCGAGGTGAACATTTTCTACAGTTATGTCACCAAACAGATATACTACAACCTAATCGTATTGCATAAAGGTGAAGCACAAAGGCCTCCAGCATCACAGAGTGAATGAATGTGCCCTCAGGCTTTTGTTTCAGGGAGAAAACTACTGGCACTCGAAGCTGTGGGAACACAGAACTGGATGAACACTGTGTGCTCAAGCGTATGTTGGCACACAGGTGTTTGTACACAACGCATGACACGTACCACGCACTCCCTCACGCACCACGGACGAATCAACAATATGTCTACATTTCAGAGTTTCGGAATTTGCATCAACAAATATAAAGGCATCTAACCAGATGAGGCCTGTGTGCCAGTTCCTCTGTGATATGGCTTGACGGTTTTATCTTTAACTACACTCCTCCCTGTTAACAGCACTTGACTTTATGGTGTGAAAGGCACTCGCACTGTTCTGCCAATGATTCCCTCACAGACCAGCCTGTACCATCTTCTGTTTGAGGCATACGTGCTACAAATACCTGTACTGATAGTTTGACTGGTTGTGATGGATGGATACATCTAAACCAACTTTTATGAGTATTTTTGTGAGACCCATTTTGGACACCCTGGTGAAAATGAAGTACACTTTAGCAGACTTTTAGAAACAGTCCATATTATGTAAATAATTTACTTTAAAAGAATATACTTAAGTGCGAGCTAAATGTTATGTTTTCGAACACTGTAAATACATGTTATTTACATTTAAATAAAAATGAATTCCAGTTTGAATTGATATTAAATGCATTTTTTGACCAACTTAGGTATATTTTTATATGTAATTTGCATAATTATTTCTACTGCACTTTAAAGTAAAACTTTTAAATTGATACTATTACAAAGTGCACTTCTTTCAGAGGTACCTAAGTGTTCAAATATTTCATTGTTTACATTTTAGGATTCTTTGATGAATAAAAAGTTAAAAGAACAGCATTTATTCATCTTATTATAATCAATGTTGAAAACAGTGGTTTGCTTCTTAATTGTACTTATTTATTTATTTTGTGGAAACCACGATACACTACAATTCAAAGTTTGGGATAATGTATTTCTTTCTTTCTTTCTTTCTTTTTAAATTAATATTTTTATTCAGCAAGGATAAATTCATAGAAAGTGATAGTAAAGACTTAAATTGTTGCAAAAGATTTCTATTATTAGATTTCTATTGTTCATCAAAGAATCCTGAAAATAGTACCATTCTAAAATATATTAAGCATGCAGCACAACTGTTTCAAACATTGACAATATATCAGCATATAAGAATGATTTCTGAAGGATCATGTGACACTGAAGACTGGAGTAATGGCTAATAAAAAATTCAGCTTTGCATCACAGGAATAAATTACATTTTACAAGTATATTAAAAAAGAAAACCATTATTTTAAATTGTAATATTTTCACAATATTATTGGTATTACTGTATTTTGATATAAATGCAACCTTGATGAGCAGAAGAGACTGATTCCAAACTTTTGAATGGTAGTGTGTGTGATTTGAAAAGCACAATTTATGATACCATTGTTACCTGATTTTATTCCTGAATATTATTCAACAAACAGCTGAGTCTTCGTTCATAGATTTTGTTCTTTCTATTATATCAAACACAGAAGTGATCTGCAAATATAGACAATACATTCAAAACATTCACATCTTAGCATGTAGGTACATGATGAATACGGTAATTGTTCAACACCAATCAGCCGTATATGTGGAAGTAGCGTGGTATTACCATTTGATAGCATCATTGAACATGGTACTGCCCCAGTATGAAGAAGAACGGGCCAAATGTCCTTCAGTAAACCACAACATTCCTCATACTTTACTATTTACTGTATGTTTTACCATAGAGCACATTTGTTTCTATGTTTCAGCTCTGAGCTCTTCAGTGAGGACTAAATGATTCTGCCCATTTCTGGGGTCTTTCTCACGTGAGCACATCAGAGGAGGTTATCTGGGTGCGTTATGTAAATGTCCTGCTTTCATAATGGCTGGCGCTCTGTGAAAACCTGTGTAAAATTTGACCTACCTTTCTTTACCTTTTAGTCTGAGCAATATTTATAGTTTTGCAACTAAACAGAAAGATAAACATCTGTGTTCTACAACATTCCCCTTCTGTTAAACATCAGGAGCAAAAAAAGTACATGATGTGTCAGGTTTAGATATAGAATTATTTAAAAAAGGTCTCTTGCAGTCATTCAAATTAGTTTACCCATATACATAAATATATAGTTCAGTCATGAAACTCTAGATGGCGCAGGCTGACGGGGTGTTAATTTAACTGATGATATTCAGAGAGTTAAATGACTTGGCACAAGCTGATTGGTTCATGCTGCATATGCAGCCAATGAGCTTACTGCCTTGCATTTATATGGCTGGCTAGCATTCACTAGAGATTCCTGCAGCGCGCTTTCAGAGTTTCTCTGAAACCCTCCACCTTCCCCAGCTCCACCTGTATAGATCTGCTATGGGTTATTTTATATGCTATTTGTGCAGCAGCAGTATGTCTTAAATACTCACGGCACCGTATCGCCGTATGCATTGGCAGTAGCAAGTTCCTGTACTTGCTTGCAGCAGCAGCAATAATCTACAACTATAGCAATAACCAACAGCAGCAGCAATTCTGCAGCAGCGTAGCAGATCTATTCCACCAAGACCAAATAAATTAACACTGTCATATCCATCACCATGCTAAAATCTTCCAAAAGTTGTTATGATTGAAATATACTGTACCTTTCTTGGGCTCAAGCAATACCATAATGCAACTTAAAGCTGAAGTGTGCTTCATTAATGTTAAAATACTTTCTGACAAGGAAGTCTATAATACTAATTTGTTAATAAATTACAATTTTTAAAAGGCTATTATTTGGCTGGCCACCATTTCCCCAGAAGTGCATGATGTAATTTCAAATTGGCCATCAATTCTGCTCATGGGTTCCGCAAGCAGGTTTTCTTTAGCCAACACCATGTGACTAAGCACTCCATAAGGAGCTCCATGAAAATGTCACGACAATGCAGATTGGCAGCATACAAAGACATTTTATTTCATGTTTATTTAATGCTTTTGAGCGGCCAAAACATCTATTAAAATATCATTAAATATTTGCAACACTGAAATCAGTCTGGAAACATTTAGATGATGCACAGAAATCACACACTTCAGCTTTAAACAGCTAATTGTAATGCATGAACCACACTGTAATGTAAAACTGATCTGCAAGATCAGTCTTCACAATGTTGGAATGCATCATCATACAGCCTCATGCAGAAAAATCCAACCACCAAGATTTTAATCCAGTATGTTTTTTCTCAAAATAACAGTGCTATAACCACAAAGGAAGTTAACACTGATTCTTGGAAGCAATTCTGGCTTCCTCAGTTTACATTGAGTTTACATCTCACAATATTTTCTTTATTTCCTTAGAATTCTGAATTTGCAACTCGAAATTCTATTTTTCAACATGGGAAAAAAAGAATAAAAAAGGTAATTGTGACTTTTTATATCAAAATTCTGACTTTTTAACCACAATTGCAAGTTTACATCTTGCAATTCTGAATTTTATTTCATAATTCTGAGCTTACATCTCAAAATTCAGTATTTTGTGTTTTGTGTCAATTTGTATTCTTTTTATTCAATGGCAGAAATAAGCTACCATCTATTCTTATAGACATCAACACGAAAAAAAGAAATGACTAAGAATGCTCAATAAGTGCATAGTTATGTTCTTAACGGGATTTGATAATGTCATTTCATTTTGATTTTGTACCTTTCTACTTTCCCATCACTCCTGTTTGCTTCCGCTTTATGCTTGTTTACTGTATGCAAACGTAAAATGTGTTATATTAAGACAGTTACATTGTTCATTCGAACTATCCAGCAACAGATAATATGAATGTAGGCTGTTTTTTGTTTTTTTTACACTAAAGATTCGCAGATGGCTGTGATATCTGAGTCTTGACTATGCATTGAGCTGAGTCCTGTATCTGAGTCGTCATCATTCACGTCACATGTTTTTGAAAGCCCTCTCGCCTGCTCCACCCACACACTGTCCCCCTGGAGCGGCATCAGTCTGTCTGTTTCTATTGTGTCTTCCTCTTTCAGCTCAGCTTCGGCCTCACTGTCCTCGTCAAAATCCAAAGAGTTGACTTTCTCCATTAAATCCCTCAGTTCTTTCTCTTTCGCCCCCCATATCTCCTGGGTCAAGTCCAAATCATTCCTTATGGCCTCCAAATCAGTGTTCAGCCGCAGACCGATGTACAAACTGGTGTCAAGTTGGGTTCTGATCCTCTCTTCTTCCAGAAGCAACTCGTTGTCAGACGACACATCCACCGCTGAAGGTCCATCATCTTTTTCTTGAGTTGTGACTCTGAGAGACGTCTCGCCAGAAGTGGGTTCAGAGTCTTTATTGGCAAGTTCCTCGTGTCTTCGTTTCATCCACCTCTGGTTGAGTTCCTCTTGAAGCTCAGTTGTAATGCTCTCCATGAGGGCCTCGTGTTTAGACAGTTCTTCCTGCAGTTTGATGACCTCCTCGCATCTCTGAGCATATTCCTCAAACTGGGCGAGAGCTGCTTCTGGGCTCGTTTTGTCCCCCTCACTAACTTTATCAGGGTTGGCGTCCACTAAATACGTATCCTGGACGTAGTTGATCCCATGCATCTTCATTCTATCAAAATGAACTTTGGCCTCATACCTTTCAATTTCTCTGTCCAGCTCTTTTATCCTCTGAATCTGCTGGCGGAGGGTGTGATCTTGAGAAACGACCAGGTGCACAAGGGTCTCCATCTTCTCCATAGATGAGGCATCTTTGGACGCAGCCTGCGCCCTTTTCTTATTGATTTTATCCAACTTTCTGAACGCTTTCCTAACTATCCGTCTCTGTTTCTCCTGTGACAGAGCCATGGTCACTCTCGCGGTCCCCTTGTAGACACACGGGCTCTCTTTGCTGAGAACGACGCGCGCCTCTGCGCTCCGCGGCCCGTTGCTGGGTAAAGACGCCTCGTTTTTCACCAACACAAACCGGACGTTTTCTTGTTCCTCTCCCCACGCGCTCCACAGTCGCAATATCTTGGTTTTGTTTGGTAAAATCCGTTCAAATCCTCTCCATTTCTCTACAATGCAGTAGGACCGAGGAGAGCCCGAGAGGGACGCGCGCTGCGCCAGGTTCTGCTCCCCGAGTAAAACCCGGATCACATCCGCGCAGGTCGTGCGCTTCGACAAGCCCGACACGAGCCTCTCTTCGCGACAAACCCACACTGAAATGTTATTCTCCTCTGCCTCCATCTCTCAGACCGATAGTCACTGTCCCGGCAAGTCTCTAAAAGTTCCTGGTGCAGGAAACTATTCAGGTTAAGTGAAAACTTTTATAAAAATAGAAATATTCTATTAAATGTTAAGGGTTAATCCTCAGTAATGAAAATAAATAAATAAATAAAAACAATCGGCATGTTGTTGATTCGGCCCGTATAAGAATCAAGGAGTCCGTCATAGTCCAGTGTTGGCAGGTTTGGCAGTCCTCATGCGTTTCTCTCTGTAAGTCTCTGTAAGTGAATGAGCTCAGACGGGACAGCGCTGCTGCGAGTACACCACACTGATCATGTGACCTACAACGCCGCCACATTCCCTATATCACAACTTATATGCTAGGCCTATCTCTTGTGTGCACTTGTATTTAGATTAGATCAAATAAAGTAAAATAAAACAAATATAATAAAATAAAATATCTCTATTTGAAGTGTTTAATAAAAAATAAAATAAGCCAAACAAACAAAACTGCTCTGATGTTGTTTTGGTTGTTTACACACACAAAAAAATGATGGTGATAATAAAATAAATCTATGTTTAACAAAAAAACATCCGTCCATCCATGAAAGCATACACAAAACTGATAGTCGTTGAATTCATGACATACAGAAATTCATCTCACATGATAATATTAATTTATCACATACATACACTCTAAAAAATGCTGGGTTAAATACAACCCAGTGCTGGGTAAAATAGGGACAAACCCAGCAATTGGGCTGTTTTGACCCAGCGGCTGGGTCAAAACAACCCAATTGCTGGGTTTGTCCCTATTTTACCCAGCACTGGGTTGTATTTAACCCAGCATTTTTTAGTGTGTAATATTGTCTTTTACAAAACTCAGTTATGGGTTCTTTTTATAAATACAATTTTAAACAAACTTTCTGATTATCACGTGTATTATTTATTTATTTACAGCTTCAAAAATGTACAAACAAACAAGAGTTAAATCACTAATCCCCCCCCCCTCTCTCTCTACACTCTAAAAATGCTGGGTTAAATACAACCCAGTGCTGGGTAAAATAGGGACAAACCCAGCAATTGGATGACTCAAAGCTGCAATAATTAAATATGTTAAATAATACAAATATCCTTTATATATTTAATCCCATTTTATTAACCAATTTGCTGTTGACCTTCGGTGATCCAATTCAACCATACTAATAAGCAAAAATTCACAAGATAAACTAACATTTCTTCTTCTTTTTTATTGCTGAAGTGTGCTGAACTTTCTTCTTCTGTGTATACTGTACAGACGTTAATTTACATTTCCTTCAGCCTGAGGCTTTTGGTGTGAAAGGGCTTTTATATTTGCCAAAAATAGAACTTTTTATATTAAAAGCAAACAAGCAAGCCCACACTTTAAAAAATGGTGTAATTTTAACTGTAAAATTTTGTAAAAACGCTACGGGAAAAAAAATGTTAATAGGTTAACAGTAAGTTCCCGTACTATATACAGTGAAAAACTGTAAAAGATCTAACCAGACATTTAATGTAATTTTACAGTAAAATGCTGTTGTTTGTACAGTTTTTAGATGTAAAAGTGAACAAATCAATGTATAATTTACAGTCAAAAACTGTAAACTGATATTCCCAGAATTCCCTGCGTAACACTCCACAAGTATTTTATTTAAATAATCATGTTTTGAAATAGTTTTTGTTATCAGTTATGTACATTTGGTCTATATGTTACAACTTCTGTTGTTTAATGAAAGTTTAATGCATTATTTAAGTATTACCATGATGGTGTTTTGTGTTTGCATGAATGACTCTGTGCACCTTCTATATATTAGTATATACTTCTGCTTGTGGCGAAGCTACTTGTGATGAGCTTTGATTCTTCATGTGGCTTTCTCTTTTACCACCTGCATTATTATGGTGGTTGTCAGTATGTTAAAGGTACAAAACAGATTTTAATAGCAGTGTGCATTGTTGAATTTACTGGTTTACATTCAAATGTTCTTGTTTGTAAATCAGTTTTATACTGTAAAATTTACAGCTTTTTTGGCCGTAAATGTGTTTACAGTTTTTCTGTATTTTTTACAAAATTATTCTGGCAACCACAGCTGCCAAAATTATTTTGGAAAAACTACGGAATTTTCTTTACAGTGCAGCCCAGATTTAAAAAGTAGCGCAAAAGTAACATAATGCATTACTTTCAATAAAAAGTAACTAAGTAACGTAATTAGTTACTTTTTTAGGAAGTAACGCAATATTGTAATACATTACTTTTAAAAGTAACTTTCCCCAACACTGTAGATTATATTAAGGGGGTGTAAAATAAATAAATACATTTAAAAGATGATCTGAATATAATTCAAGACTTTTTAAAAAAAAAAATTATGTTGGCGATGACCAATATTGTTTTGGACTTTAAACTAAAACTTAGTGGACTGGAAGGTTTACTCAAAAGAAAAACTGTTCAGTTACTTATGATAGCCTACTGTAGAGATGTGTTACTTACAGTCAGACATCATTCATTTATTCTGTCAGCAAATGTGGAAAACAGGACATTTACAGAGACCAAAAATCAGTAGTATTTGGCTGGTCATGTGATATCAGTACGTCAGCCCCCATAAGGCACCCCTCCATGTACAATAAAGCATCTTTTATCAGGACGACTGATATGACTGGAATCATCTCATGTGAGTGGACTTGATTTAAAGCATGTTTTTCAAAAGCACTACTCACCTTTAACCCGAGTGCATCTATAACCTGCTGTTTCCAAGACAATAGAAATCAGCCTCTCCCAACCCACAGTAAACTCGGACAGAGTCCACCTCTTAACATGCCTGAAACAGACCTTGTGATGGACACAGTTTGTCCGCTAAGTTGTTTTAATACTAGCATTTTTGTGTTGTTTTAGTTTTGAAGGCCAATATTAAGTTGGTTTAATTGCTTCGTCAAGCTTGGGGTAGATGAAAGGTGCTTCATCAAGATTATTGCACGTTATTAAGAAATTGTGCATCACAAAAACGAACACTGCAGGAATCATTAATCTAGAGTCTATATGCTATTTTATGATAAAAGATATTCGAATTTCAGGGCCAAACCAGATCCAATTAAGGTTAAAACTCCACAATCCTTTAAATAAATAAAATTACATGATCAGTATAAAAGCATGGTTTGAAACTTATGAAATATATCATTTTACTTTTTAACCCTTTTAAATGTCTTTGAGTAATAAAAAGCTTTACATCAATTTAGAAAGCAATTCGTTGTTCACTGCTTCCTGAGAATAATCCTGCACTGACCCCTGCTGTTCACGTTCATTAATGCCACATTCACAAATAATAGTGGAACAATCCCGCCCCCTAGTGTTCAATGCTATTACTGTAAATCCATGTAGTGTACGAGAAGATAGACATCGCCAATAAACCATAAATATTAAAAGAATAGTTCACCCCAAAATGAAAATTTGCTGAAAATGTACTCACTCTCAGTTTGTTTCTTCATTCAAACTGATTTGGAGAACTACATCACTTGCTCAGCAGTGGAGCCTTTGCAGTGAATGGGTGCCGTCAGAATGAGAGTTCAGAATCTAACAATATCTATGTTTAGAACAGTTTTGGTGCTTGCGAACAATGCTTGATCTGTGCATATTTCTCTCAGATGAGACAACTTTTTCAGAAAATATTATCGATAGACGTCTCATATTTGAGCCAGAAGCAACAGTTTGAAGTTAAAAACGTCTTAATGATGAATTAATTACAAACACGTGGCTTTTCACTTCACCAGATGTTAATTGTTGGACTAGTGCCGTGTGGATTACTTGTGGATTATTGGGATGTTTTTATCAGCTGTTTGGACTCTCATTCTGACGGCACCCATTCACTGGTGAACAAGTGATGTAATATATGTTATTTAAATTTCTCCAAATCTGTTTTAATGAAGAAACATACTCATCTACATCTTTAATGTCCTGAGAGCAAATGCATTTCCATTTTTTTTGTTAGTTTTTTGTGTGTGTGTGGGGTGGGGGGGGGTAACTATTCCTTTAATGTACATCTTATAGCAAAATTATGCTTTCAAATGGAATGTTGCACGCTGTTGCACAGCTGTAAATGGTAATGGTATGGATAAAAAATTTGCTTTCAATAAACATGCACTAACATGTGTGTCATAAATGCTTATAAATGAAACCGAGAAAATGCATTGGGGGAAAAAACTTATTGATTCAACTATTGGATTCAACTTTGTTTTCAAAGTCTGTTCCTAGAAGTGACAACAGTAGGCGCTGCAGACTTGAAGATACTTTCAGTGCTACAATCCATCCCTAATAGAATATCAATTACAAAAAACATTCTTACAGATGTTGTTTTATTATATATATATAAAAAAAAAAAAAATCTTAAATGACAACTTTGTCATCATTTACTCCAAAACTTTATGGCTTTCGTCTATGGAAAATAAAAATATATTTTCTTTTTTTAACAATGGAAGCCATTGGTTACAATCATTCTGGTGTTCTCAAGAATAAAGTCAGTTGGTCATACAGGTTTGGAGTAAATGAACTTGGGTGAACTATCCTTTTAAATGAAACGTGGAAAAAAATAACACATGACAAGACAAGCTGTTTTAATTACTTATTTTATTCAATATTGTATACATACAAAGTATCTAGAAAGCTACAAAATATCTACCACTTTATCAAGAAGGCATCAAAATGTTACGGAGCAAAGACAAGACCATATGCGATAAAGAACACACACATAATAGGTTTTCTTTTCTCTCTCAGCCTTGCTCCAATGCTTTTTTTCCATCATCCGGGATATTAAAAGATATCACACCTTTGTACCAAGAAAAGCCGGAATATATAATTTTATACAAAGCACCTTTTTACAAAAAATCTCTGCACACAAACCCAATATCTTTTTATGATACTATCGGAACTAGAGAAAAGTTCACTTTAAAGCCAACATCTTAAATGGTAATGAACATAGGAGGTACCAGTACCTACACATACAAACAAAATACAAACATAGATCAAAAAACATAAACTAAACTGCTGATATACTGTAGTCCGGATTCCGCTCGAATCCTTGCTTAGTGTCCATTACTAGCAAACAATGTCCGTTTAACATTCATCATATTAAAGGCATTAGTTCTCAGATCGCTAGAGAAGTAAAGGGGGCTGTTAAGGAGGAACTGACGTAGCAGGTGCACCAGCAGCGCAGCAGTAACAGTATCACCACCCGAACGGGCTCTGAATATACTGAAGTCGTCACAAAACCATCGTGTACATGTAGAACAATACAGGAAGATCTCTATATGAAACGTGAACAAGAACGAAGGGCGAAGGTACAGCAAACACAAAACAATCAACACCGTCTGCCGTTTCGATATCGCGCGTACTTAATAACTCCACAGTTTACTTGAAGCGCTACAACATACACAGCTGGAAATCTAACTTAGTCTCTCACGCTTTGAGGGTTCCATCCACTTTTAAATGAACAGCACGAATAAATTACGCAGTGGAGATGATATGGTTTGGTGAAGCCAGCTTTGTCCGTAAAGAACGTACACGTGACTCTGCGGTTCATATCCTTGACTATCTTTAAGGTCTGAGGAGTAACACACCTTGACGTCACTTAATATAGTGTTTACTATATTCACAAAAGAAAAAGAAGACATTGAAATGGCTTGAAACAAGAAGAAAGGGAAAAGCAAACACCATTCAGCAAGCAGGTGCTGTAAGGTTTTCCACTTTCACAATTCGATTATGCACTAGAAAAGTAGCTACAGCTCTATGTCAAATAAATCTCTCATAGAATGGAACCGAAGTTCACAGTTCGAAAGAAAAAAATAAAAGACAGTTTGCCACATCGACCAAATCAAATGCTGATAGAAATGTGTTATTAATAATTATTACATAACTTTATTTCAGGACATATCCACTCACTAGGCCCATGTTTTTTTTTCTATAAAATTCTTATGAAGGCAATGTGGTGAATATTTTACCTACATCCACTTTTCTTTTTTTTTGGTTTTTGATCATTTTAAGAATGGAAAATAACATCAGTCTTTTCTAAGCTGGAAACCAAAGGCACTTTCATGCTACAGTGCAGGAAATAAAGAGGAGCTCAATGCATCTCCTTCAACGTTTTGGTCTTTTCCGATAAGAAAGGCAAGATCTGTATGTCTAAACATGTCTTCGGTCTCTGAGAGTGAAAGGTCAACCAAATGGCCAGTGCTCTTTTATAAAGATGACTCGTAGGATCTTAAGGTGTGGTCCCATTTGCTAAACTGCAGCGAAATTTTGCGGACAAAAAGTCCATTGTGTATTGTCGCAGCGATGTATAAAGCACAGCTCACACAGAAGTCACTTTCAAACCAAGCATCTGGTCAGTTCAGCAAATTAGCATTAAAACAACTTGAAAATGAGCTAAATCTGCATGGGAAAACCACACAAATTCCTATCGGAATGACTGATTTCATCTGCACTGATTTCTCCGCCTAGCAACAGTAAATGTGACCGCACCTTTAAGAAAAAAATAAAAGACAGTTTGCCACATCGACCAAATCAAATGCTGATAGAAATGTGTTATTAATAATTATTACATAACTTTATTTCAGGACATATCCACTCACTAGGCCCATGTTTTTTTTCTATAAAATTCTTATGAAGGCAATGTGGTGAATATTTTACCTACATCCACTTTTCTTTTTTTTTTGGTTTTTGATCATTTTAAGAATGGAAAATAACATCAGTCTTTTCTAAGCTGGAAACCAAAGGCACTTTCATGCTACAGTGCAGGAAATAAAGAGGAGCTCAATGCATCTCCTTCAACGTTTTGGTCTTTTCCGATAAGAAAGGCAAGATCTGTATGTCTAAACATGTCTTCGGTCTCTGAGAGTGAAAGGTCAACCAAATGGCCAGTGCTCTTTTATAAAGATGACTCGTAGGATCTTAAGGTGTGGTCCCATTTGCTAAACTGCAGCGAAATTTTGCGGACAAAAAGTCCATTGTGTATTGTCGCAGCGATGTATAAAGCACAGCTCACACAGAAGTCACTTTCAAACCAAGCATCTGGTCAGTTCAGCAAATTAGCATTAAAACAACTTGAAAATGAGCTAAATCTGCATGGGAAAACCACACAAATTCCTATCGGAATGACTGATTTCATCTGCACTGATTTCTCCGCCTAGCAACAGTAAATGTGACCGCACCTTTAGTGTTAATTTTTCCCAAAAAACGACTGCGCTCATCCACATTCGTGTCATACACTAAGGCACTGTGCTGTATATTGTTACACTTTGGCAGGTTTGTACTGTACAACTCCTACAACATGTGACAATAACAAGAAAGTCTTCCAGCTTAGGAAAGAGATCACAGTTTTAGTGGCATCTTTTGGAGTTCACACAACCATTATTAAGGCTTGCAGTCGTAGAAATCGATTAGGCCACAGAGACATGGGCTGTGTGGGGATGTCAAAGGCAGCGAGGAACTCTGGGACTGATTCTTACAGAAGATGAAGGAGTGCTCTGTGACGTACGGGTGTACAGCAAAAAAAAAAAAAGTGTGGCTTTCCCAGCGGCAAACACACTCCAAGTGCTCGGGTCAATCTGATGGATAATCCATCAAGCCCTGGTAGTTAATGCAGTGCTTCTTGTTTATAGAGTTACCTTTTACACAAGCGTGTCGGCTGGAGGCGTTTAGCTGTACAGTCAACAGTAAGGGGTCGATTCTCTGCGTTTTCTTATTGCAGGTGATGACACATGAAAACAGACACAGGTTGGTATAAACTTCTCGTATCACAGTGCAGTAATTCCTCAACGAAAGAGAAAAAGTAGTGTGTACAAAGTAATTCTTTTCAAGGGCTGGGCTTCTGAATTCCCTGAATTCTCCGAGTGTTCGGAATGCAGGAACATTTTGTTTACCGATGGCCACAAACAAATCTTTTTTCTTTTCAATAAATCAATGCTACAGAATGAAATTTCTCAAATACTTTTTCTTTGGGAAAAATACCTACGTATGTGAGAATGTATATTCATCTGTACACCTACATCCTACTTATGGCTGCACCCATACGCTTTCCGATGTGTACGCTTTCAAGATTAAAAAAAATAATCAAAATGAGGTCGTTTTCAGATTCATTCTAACTCAACATAACCCTTAAATTGAATGATACTGTCACTTTATATGTATAGTCTATGAATGAATGTTGAATCGCATTCTTTGACATTCTTTCCTGTATTAAAACATAATACAACTGTACCGCGATTCACAGCTGCAGTTAAACGTCAAACACACACACACATATATACATACATATATATATATATATATATCTCTGTTTGTTACCACCTGAAACAGAGAAGGACAGAGAGAGATGGCATTACTGTACAGTTTTACATGGTAAAAATGATTGTACTGTAGCAGCAATAAAAAGGTAATGAGAAACACCAGAAAAAATACAAATTCTAAAAGTAAAGTTCTTTAATGCTCTAAAATAAATATCTAAAAATCTACACATAACAGTAATGAGAATTTGATGTAGGCAAATGTGCTTAACTGTCTCGAAAATTATGGGACAATGCAAACAATATTTGAAGAGTTCATTTGCAAAAACCGATAACTCCATTTGTATTTATTTTTTCAGAAATCACGTTTTTTATTGCGCATTCCAAGTAATATCAATCAAATTGCAGTTGGGTTGTTTTGATTAAGTAATAATAACTTAAACAAATACAGGTAATTTACCAAATTAAAGTTCATTGAAAGTATGTTTTTTTTTTTTACATATTAAAAGTTTGTTTTATTGCAAAAGCAGTTAACTCCAACAGTCATTTTTTTGAAAGTGGCATTTATCGGTTTTTGCAAATGAACTCTTCATTCAGTTCTAAAATAGTTCAAGGGCAGAGTTTCATGGGCATTCATATTTTTTCTTTAGATTTTTGAGTTTTGGACAAGTTTTTGCGAGATTCACCTGTGCACTGATTTGATCTGTAAATGGATTTCATCCAGTCTTTGATTTTTGACTGCATACATCACTTCACGTCCATGTCAAATTGCACGTTGATTTCAGGTACAGTAATTATTTTGCATTTATACTGGGCTTTTCCAGTTTTTTTTTTTAAGCCAGAATCAAATGACAATGTATAAAAAACTTGTTTTGGTACAATGATGGCTTTTTAGGTGAGTAATTATGGGTTGCATTAAGACAAATTAACATTTAAAAAGCAGTTTCAATGATTGGATAATTTTTTACATATTTGATCCTGTTTAACATTTTTTAAATCCAATATTAAATATACTGAACAAAATTATAAACGCAACACTTTTGTTTTTGCCCCCATTTTTCATGAGCTGAACTCAAAGATCTAAGACTTTTTCTGTGTACACAAAAGGCCTATTTCTCTCAAATATTGCTCACAAATCTGTCTAAATCTGTGTTGGTGAGCACTTCTCCTTTGCCGAGATAATCCATCCACCTCACAGGTGTGGCATATCAAGATGCTGATTAGACAGCATGATTATTGCACAGGTGTGCCTTAGACTGGACCAACATTCCACAGGCCACAATCAACAACCTGATCAACTCTATGCGAAGGAGATGTGTTGCACTGCGTGAGGCAAATGGTGGTCACACCAGATACTGACTGGTTTTCAGACCCCTCAATCCAGTAAAACTGCACATTTTAGAGTGGCCTTTTATTGTGGCCAGCCTAAGGCACACCTGTGCAATAATTATGCTGTCAAATCAGCATCTTGATATGCCACACCTGTGAGGTGGATGGATTATCTCGGCAAAGAAGAAGTGCTCACTAACACAGATTTAGACAGATTTGTGAACAATATTTGAGAGAAATAGGCCTTTTGTGTACATAGAAAAAATCAGCTCATGAAAAATGGGGGCAAAAACAAAAGTGTTGCGTTTATAATTTTGTTCAGTGTATTTAGTGCGCTATGCAGGGGTTAAAGTAAAAAAAAAAAATCCTGAGCCTGAACTTTTTTCTGAGGGTTGGGGGTGCAGACACATACACAGAGTTATTTGGCAAACAGAAAAATAAAATGATTTTCCTTGAAACTAGTAACGTATCTGCCATTGCCATTAGCCCTTGACAGGCTCAGACTACAGATTATGGTGGGATATTTGAAACAGCAATGCCAAGAATGTTTACTCACTACAATATGGTGCAAACACATGTAACATTTAGGATGCTTTTGATATCAAGTTTTGCTGGTTTGCGTTGTCCTTGACAAGGAACAAGATGACCTACAATCTAAAACATGACATTTCTGAAATTGTTTTGTTCAAAAGAAATAATGGTAAATTAAATACTAGGAAATTAATAGGAAATAGGAAATATACAAAGACAGTTTACTACAGTTCAGTTCAATTAACAACAACAAAATAAAATGGTCCAAGAACTGGTAACTTAAGCAGGGTTCGTACAGATACTGCAAAATGAAATTCCAGGACTTTCAAGGACTTGCACTACTTTTTTGGTTTTCAAGGACTAAAATCAGATCGAATTTATCAATCAATATTGTTATTGTCTTTCAAATTCTAATAAATACACTAATAAAACAAAATGGTACAAATAAAGTGGAGCACATCCAAAGAATGCAATGACTGTTGCAAATTTAACATTTGAAAGGATACTATAGCAAAGTTATCGCTTTCCTTATACAAACTGATTTTTTTGCATGAATATATGATTGACTTGAAGAATGAAAGCTGTATCACACACTTGGAAAATTATGAGCTTTATCACGTTCTTAGACACTAGGGGTGTGACAATACACTTAGCTCACAAGGTGAGAAAAAATGCAGATACTTGGTTCCCTAGAACGAGACAATGTTTTAACACTTTAAGAAATTTTCAAATGACAAAATATTTGTCTTTTAATCACAAAAATTAAAACAATGCAGTTGTATTTTGAAATGTTTGAACTAATCTAGTGCTTAACTAATGATTATTTTGCTAATAAAGTAATCTACTGATTATTTTGACAAGTAATCTGATATTTTGTAGTAATACAAATAGTACTAAGTGGAAAAACAGGCTTTAAAATGACTATTTATATATAAAGTAACGATGAGGCAATACTATTTGGCCTCAAATAAAGTATTAAAACCAAGTACATGGTTTTATTGAACAACACTGTTAAATACATAATGTAATGTGTCTAAATTTATAACAAATACCTGCAGAGGGCGCCAACGGCCTGGTGATGTTTCATGTGATTCAACGACATTTAAATCCATTTAATTTTAATATTTGGCCACATGCAAAATCAGAAATTTTTATTTTGAAATCGCGATGTACAATAAAAATTGCATATTTAGAAATGCTGATGGATTCTCCTGTGTTGGCATAGGTTTAAATGATTTACATTACAAATCAAGTGAGTTTTCCCAGATGAACGTTAAGCAACCCAAACTCACCGCATATGCACAGGAAGAGTTTAGCCCCTTTCACACATACAGTCTTAACTGGTAAATTACCATTAAGTGATCATGTGTGAACAGGACCTTTTCAAAAATACAGGTAAATTTGTTCTGGCAATCATATCGTTCTTATGGAGATGACGTGATTACTCTGAGCCGTTTACAAAGCTCCGCTGCTTTTTTAATAGCTTTTCTATGTAAATATAGGTTACAAATCTTTGACCATTGCGCCTCGCAGCTTTTTCAATGTGTCGCGCTCGAGACACAGGCTTCTTTTCCATTCGTCAACTGCGCGACTCTGCGATTGGATACTAATGAGCGCCTCGTGTTTATAAGAGCAAAAACTTCTGATTGGCTAGTAATGTTAGTTTGGTTGAGAGTGAAAGCTGTGTTTCTCTCATACATTGGTAGGCAAACTCGTGAACTCGAACGTGATATCAACAAGTGTTTTTAAATGTAGGACGACTATCTCTTTTTTCCTGCAGCCAAACGCCGCACGCCGGAGCTCCGGCACGGTGCCGGAGAACTTTAAGCCCTGGCTATGTGATTGGATCACCTGAGATGGATGTTAATAACAATGCCACCACCTTTCAACAACATATACTGTACACAAGCATTCACTATAAACACACACATACCCTCCCTCAGTCTCTCTATAATAACAACTAAAACCTCCATGGGAGGTGAGAGTCGCAACCCAGGAGAGCAGGTTTACAGATGCACAGCACCAGGATGTGAGGGATTTGAAGGAAGAGAGCAGGGAAAGTGCATTAGTAAGACCCTCACTATAGGACAGAATAGGGCTCTAATCCTGGTGTGTAAGAAGGTTAGAGAAAGGGGTTCCTCCCCCTTTGCAGGAGATTATCAGGCTTTGCACAGCGCCACAGGAATGTCAGGAATGCTAGGCCGTCTCCGCTCAGAAGCCACAGGCTCCGCCCTGCACTGAGAGCTCTCACTGATTGGTTTAAACATCACTGATTGACATGCAGACTCACCAATAAGATGGTGAAGTTCTCCAGGACGCTGTTCATCATGTATTTCTCAGGAAGGTGTTTGAGTTTGTGGATGAAGTTGATCATGTATTCACACATGGGAGACCGACTTATCCGGTAAACAAAGCGTCCATTCTCAAAGCGAGCGTACTCCGTCTGAGAGAAGAGAGAGAGATGTGAAAATGCGCAACAGAAAGTACCATTGCATATACACTACCAGTCAAAAACGTGAAATCATTTTTAAAAATGTTTTTAAAAATAAATTTCGGTAACACTTTACAATAAGATTCCATTAGTTAATGTTAATGTATTAACTAACATGAACAAACAATGAACAATACATGTATTACAGTATTTATTAATCTTTGTTAATGTTAGTTAATGAAAATACAGTCGTTCATTCACAATTATGCTAATTCACAGTGCATTAACTAATGTTAACAAGCACAACTTTTGATTTTAATAATGCATTAGTAAATGTTGAAATTAACATGAACTAATATTAATAAATTCTGTAGAAGTATTGTTCATTCTTAGTTCATGTTAACTAAAGTAGCTAACTAATGATCCTTATTGTAAAATGTTACCGAAATCTTTAATGTTCACCAACACCACATTTATTTGGCACTGTAAAAACAGCATTATATTAAAAAAATATCACAATTTTAAATATCTGTTTTCTTTTTTAATATGTAATTTATTCCTGTGATGACAAAGCTGAATTTTCAGTATCATTACTCCAGTCTTCAGTGTGATTTTAATAATGCATTAGTAAATGTTGAAATTAACATGAACTAATATTAATAAATTCTGTAGAAGTATTGTTCATTCTTAGTTCATGTTAACTAAAGTAGCTAACTAATGATCCTTATTGTAAAATGTTACCGAAATCTTTAATGTTCACCAACACCACATTTATTTGGCACTGTAAAAACAGCATTATATTAAAAAAATATCACAATTTTAAATATCTGTTTTCTTTTTTAATATGTAATTTATTCCTGTGATGACAAAGCTGAATTTTCAGTATCATTACTCCAGTCTTCAGTGTCAGATGATCCTTCAGAAATCATTCTAATATGCTGATTTGCGGCTCAATTAATAATAATGATTCTTATTCTAAATTTTGAAAACAGCTAATAAAACTGGTTAATATTTTTGTATAAACAGTGATACCGATGTTTTTCAGGATTCTGAAACAGAACTGAATTTATTTGAAACAGACATAATGTTGTAATATTATAAATGTCTTTACTAACACTTTTGATCAATTTAACGGGTCCTTGCTGAATAGAAGTCTTTCTTTCTTTCTTTTACTTACCCCAAACTTCTAAGTGCTAGTGTATCAATGTTTCCTCTAAAATATTGAGCAGCACAACTCTTTTCAACATTGATAATAATAAATTTCTCGAGCACCAAATCAGCATATTAGAATGATCTCTGAAGGATCATGTGACACTGAAGACATAAATATCAGCATTAACATCACCGTAATATTAAAACGATACAGTTCTTCTAAACTGTAATAATAGTTCACACTATTACTGTTTTTACTGAATTTAAGATAAAAAATGCAGCCTTGGTGAACATGAGTCTTACAAAAACATTTAAAATCTGAATTATTCCAAACTTGTGACCAGTAATGCACATACAAATATGACCATGATACCACCATTTAGTGCCGCCTTTTTTTTTTTTGTATGACTAAACATTTTAAAAGTTGTAAAATCACATTACCGATCACAAAATCTCAATGTTTCAACGTATGGTTAGATTAAAATTTCATAGTCTTCAATTAAAATCCTGAGCTTTCTCGTCAAATTCTCCCTTTTTCTACTAAGAAATGTCAGACTAAGAACTGAGAACTTCATTAAGTGTCCTGAGTAACGAAAGAGCAATTACATTTCCCTCTGGGAAACTCGTATTGGAAGGAGAACATTTATTGCTCCATTTAGGTGTTACAACTGTACTCAAAAGTGAATGTTTGAAATGTACCTCCACTTTCTCCACGACCTGTTTGCCAAACGAGCAAACCTTTGTGGAGCAGGTGATGGTCATGTTCTCCGGGCTCTCATACTGACTGCTCACTCCATAGAAAGCCCCAGTTTCGTCCTGAATGTTGCAGTTCAAGTCAGCCTATGAACCAATGAGATTGTAGCTTTAATTTTCAATTTAATAAGCTACACTGTCAAATATTTCTATTACAAAAAAATCTACAGCAGAAAAAATGGATAGATTTACCAAAATATAACATTCGATACAAAACTGACATCTAGTGGAAACTGTATGCACAACTAAAAAAAACCCTAAATGGAATATTTTCAGCACTTCAGTTTGTTCCTCACATAGACATGAAGCATAGAACACAATTTGTATTGAGCTTTTATAATGCTTTCATGGTGCTTTTTTGTCTTCCATCCACATTATGAAAAGACCACTATGCACCTTCTGCACTATATTAGTGTTACATGGAAGAAACAGGTCAGTTTTGGAAGAACATGAGATGTTCATTTTTGGATGAACTATTCCTTTAAGAATGCATTATACCTATACTAAACTACCAATCATGGCTATTTCTCCATATTAGTCTATTCCAGTATTAAAGGCTGTGTCTAAGGTTAGAAAGAATAGATTAAATGACTGAGTAAAAAGCCACTCAAAAAATTCTGAAGAAGAGCGGAAAAAAAGAACAGCTCGCTCCCCGCTTTTTCAGTAAGCTAACCCGATGTTCATTACTGAGAAAGCTCAAATATTCATTTCTGGCATACTCTCTTTTCATTAAGACAAGCCTGTTACATTTTCACATCATATCCAAGAGAGGCATTATTGTGCAGATCCAGAGTTTCATTTGAAATTCAGATCCCTCTGTCACTTCAAACGGAATTCGAGCAGCCTCGCTCCAACCACGACGAGGTCCACTTTGTTGGTTGCCGCTAGTTAGCATTTCACAAAATGCATGCAATGTTTGAATAGCTATTAGAGGACCAACCAGGTCATCCAATTGTTTCGCGATATTAAACAGAATAAGTGCGCGCTTTGATCATGGACACTTCAGCTATGCCATGCCAAATATAGCGGCGTAAACATAGACGGCTGTCTTTAAAACTAAAGTGGCCCAGTGTCTTTAGGGAAATGCACAATTATGTATGCATGTAATCACTTGGTAGATAAATATTTGCGTTAAATAGGCAGTTGTATGGGTGGTAAACATGAACTATGGTAATTTCACTCTAATTAGTGTAGAAACCTGGGCGGCATACATTATTTGTAAGCCTAAATAAAAAAAATACAAAGTTTTTCTTGGACTAATTGTGTGTTTTACGATGTCTTCTATTGTGGATAATTGTCCCATGCATGTTTAGGAGGGGGGGGGGGGGGTGCCAAACAATTCCTTTAGCCCTCCTTTCTTCTCAGGGAATTTGTCGTAAATCTGACGAATGTCCACTGACTCGAGCAAGGCATCATTGTAAGAGTGATTTGTCTGACCAATGTGCACGAAAAGATGCTTGTTATACTGCACAGAAAAAAACAAAAAAAAAAACAAGTTAGAAACAGGAAAACTTGTCAAAATGACTGAAAGTACTTGAACTAGGACTATCCATCTATTCATTACTGTAAATGAATAAATTTCTTGATATGTTGATTAATAATGCTTATTATTCACAATTAATCACATTAATTAATCAATATTATATTTGGTGAGAAATGCCCCTTAAATGGAGACAATTCACATTCATACTGTACATTTTATTATTGCGGCAGACAAAAAAGGAAAAGAAAAGGCTGAATAAACATGACAAAAATATTAATGTTCATTTATATAAAAAAAATAACTAAATATATATATATATATATATATATAAATAATTTATAAATCTTGATTAAAGCTAATGTATACATACTATTTTTTATTGTTACTTTATGTTTGTTCATAATATAAAAAATATTTGCAACTTGATGTTAAAAATGTATTAGCATATGTAGAAATTAACATGCTGTAAAAGTGTTGTTCTTAGTCTTTAAATCAAGTTTTTATTTCTACTCTATATAATTCCACAACAATTTCCTGTACAATTAGGTTTTTTTTAGGTATACTTCAGAGATATTCACATATGTACCACAGCATATAAAAAATATAATGGTATTAGCGGTACTTATATGATATACTTATATGATACAGAAACAATACTTTTTTGTAAGTGTGATAACATCTGAATTTTGTTACAAATTTAAAATAGAACATAAAACAGGACCTTGTATTTTGACAGTCAACATGAAATGCTATTCACCACTCTCATTGTATTACAGTCATATTATGGTATGATCATATTTCTGACTAAAACATTTATCTAAGATATTCGAAGAGCTACAAATGTAAGGCGTCTATTTTTCCCCATTGGGAATAGATTGGACTGTGAAAAGTACACATTGCATACTAGAATGTGCGTTTTCAGTCAATTGTGAAGAACTTCCATCTAAAAACACTCACTTTTGAGGAGGCTTTTTGTCTAAGAGGCTAAAGCTTGATGAATCGTGTGCAATAAGAGCAGGAATGTGTATTAGGAAGTAAACTGACTCCGTTTTAATTTCACTTTGACTTATAGTGACATAAAGAAGCTACTCACAGAATCTGGATCTCTCTGGTGCTCAAGAAAAGCAGAGAACTCCACCAGTCTGAGTTTAGATGTGCCGACAGATCGGCCCTGCCAGGCGGGCACTGTGGGCGCCGGTGCTGTCGGGGGCTCATAACCTAAACACACATACACACATTGAATATTTAGCTCTTCTAAACAAACAGAATGTTACATCTGAATGTGAATTAATCAGAAAAGCATGGCAAACGATGACAGACATACTTGAGATTGTAGTTGTGACTGCTGGCTGGATAGCGTATGCTTGCTGAGCAAATGGCTTGATGCTAAAACATAGACAAAGGAGAATTAAGAACAGGAAAACGAGCAGCCTGAAGTTTAGCGGCACTACATACTGAAGAGATTAAGAGGGTTACACAGCAAAGAAGAAACAAAGCTGCACAAAGTATTTAAACTTGGATTCAACCCATCCCTGTTTCTGGAAAGGCTTCCTCTATCTCTGATCCCTCTGAGGAAAAGAGAGAAAGCTGGAAGGATCGGGGAAAATACAGACATCAAGAGATCGACAATAAAGCAGACAAAACAGAGACAGGGGGAATAAAGAAGATTTGCATTTCCTGAAGGAAATACCAGTGCTTGCAAGGCAGCAACAGAACCATATTAAAAGTTTTAGGCTATAAATTTGGTTCTGCTTAAAATGAAATGCTGAATCAGACAAAAGTCATGATACTCAGTAAAAAATATGAATTAGAAATAGCTTTCCCCACTCCTGCTCTCACATTCTCTTAATTTCATTGGATATTGCAACTTTCTTGGTAGTCAGGACTGTGTGCACACCTGGCAACTGGCTGACTAAATTTCAAATAAGCTTACTACTTTACAAGTGTTCATACTATAGAGCAGTGGTTCCCAAACTTTTTGCAGTGTGCACCCCTTTCTAGTGTTTGACACATGTCAAGCACCCCCACCACCGTACTCCGGTTAAACACCACATTTTTAACTGCAATACAAGTATAAATACAAGTATTCACTGTATACAGGGCTTGACATTAAAGGGTTAGTTCACCCAAAAATGAAAAAGGCCTCATGTAGCGAATCAATGCGTTTTTGTAAGAAAAATATCCATATTCAAAACGTAATAATCACTTGAATCTAGCTTGCGCTCACTGTTGTAAAACGGAAGCAGTTCCGGGGGAATTATGCAGGAGGTCAGCTTTGCGCATTCGCAGCTCAGAAGTGACACACACGGAGAGATCGAAACAAAACAACGGTCACTGATTAGAAGTACAAAACGAGGATTTGTAAAGAAGAATGTCGGAGGATTTCGATATAAGCTGAGAGGAGACTTGTTTTCCTTTGCTAAAGTAAGGAAACTTTGCTTCTTTTGATCCTGTAAACAAACATTAGTTTTCACGAGACTCGCCGGCGCATGCGCAATGCTGACATCATACGTCATGCTCCCGGAACTGCTTGCATTTTACAACAGTGAGCGCAAGCTAGAGTCAAGTGATCATTACGTTTTGAATATGGACATTTTTCTTACAAAAACTCATCGATTCGCTACAGGAGGCCTTTGTTCACCCCCCGGAGCGGTGTGAGGCACTTTTTTTATGTGAAAGGTGCTTTTTATTTCACGTCTTTTGGACAGAAGCAATGCAACACCTGTTGAGTGCAACGATAGAGCTTGAAAAAGCAAAGACAATTTTTTTTATAACTCCGACTGGATTCGTCTGAAAGAAGAAAGTCATATACACCTAGGATGCATCGGGGGTGAGTAAAACACAGCCTAATTTTCATTTTTGGGTGAACTAACCCTTTAACTATTTTTAAGAGTTTTAATTTTGGTTTTCCAAAATTCCATTCCATTTTCACTGGCCACAATTTTGTTGCTGGAAAATTACATTTTATATGACTAAAGTTACTGCATATTAAAATGTATTTGAATTGATTTTTTTTGCCTATAAAAAGGACATTTCCCCCTAACCTTATTAAATGCATGTGTCATCTTTCAGATCAAATTCTTACATGTTATTAATAATTTCACTTAATATAATAAGACTCTATAGGGCTGTTACCAATCAAATTAAATCAGTATTAACAAAACCAATTTTTCCACTGCTGGAGAAACAGAAGCAGCTGAAGTAGCATTTAGATGCATTTACACAGACAATTTAATGAAGCTGAAATGTAGCATGAATGCATTTACACTGCAAAATTACAACAGCATAAATAATGCTGTGAGCTTGGTGTTTTACATCAGTTTTTTTTTATTTACAAATATGAAAAGTAACCCACCAGCAGGTGGCAGCAAGTGACTTAATGAGTGAGTCATTGAGGCCTTCAAGAATGAAGCAAGCACCTGTCTTTACGAATGGACCACTGAATCAGTGACTCAAATTATTAATTAAAAAACACGAATCATTCAGTAACGAAACACCGCTGTGTGTTGCTCAGAGATGAGCGACAGTTCTGCTGCTAAGTTTGTTGGAACTATTTTCGTTAAACAAATTGACCAAAAACAGTCACATTGACATTATTGTACTAAAATGTATGCCCTAAGTCACTTAATATTAACTACTCGTTTGAAGTCTTGTTTAAAATCAATGTCGAATTTACAATCGTACTGATTTTTGGGGAAAACTGCACTCTCTTAGTCATGTCATGTTAATTAACACAGAAAAATGCACACAGTTCATCAAAAGCATTCTCTCGCGCACCCCTGCTGGTCGATCTGTGCACCCCAGTTTGGGAACCGCTGCTATAGAGCATTGGCAGCAGTGACGGCGCTACACCGGGGCTAGGGGGGGGGGCTATAGCCCTGTCAGAATTTTGAATAGCCCCGGTTTAGTCTGACGTCATCAATATAATTTATTTTCTTAGCACCGGTAGAGAAAAAATTCTGGCGCCGTGCCTGATTGGCAGCATGCATTCACTAGAAGTTGGCCATAATCTAGGGCTTTTTGCGGCACACTAGTGGTGGAATTAAAGGATTTGTCTTGTAGTGTGCACTTGTCTTAAAGTGAAGGAGAAGAAGGTGGTGATAAAGGAGGTGCAGAAGAAAGTGAGGAAGGTAAAGATAGTGGTGAAAAAGAAAGTGCTGAATTTGAAGATGGTGGTGGTGAAGAACAAGGAAGAGGTGCAGAAGAAGGTGAAGATGGTGGTGAAAAAGAAAAAGAAGGTGGAGAAAAAAGGTGAAGAACAAGATGGGAGGAGGTGCAGAAAAAGAAGGTGAAAAAGGTGGTGAAGAGGAAAAAGGTGAAGAAGAAAGTGAAGATGATCAGGAAGAAAGTGACGACGGTGCTGGTGAAGAAAGTGAAGACAGCAACGGTGCAGAAGACGCAGAAGAAGAAGGTGGTGCAAAAGAAGGTGAATACAATGATGAAGGTACAGAAGGTGCAGCAGCAGCAGAAGAAGAAGAATGTCCGATGTGCTTTTCAAGCACTGTAATAATAGGAAAAGCTTTAGTAAGCCAATGGGAGCAGAACTTCTAGTAGAGATACTCACTCTTGTGAGGATCCAGGTTGGCCCGTGGATATCATGCCCTGCCAAAACTAGAGAATTAGATAAATAAATAGACAACAAAACACAGCCTATCCACAGGCACACACACATCTGTGCACGCTTGATACATCAGTTATCACATGTCCATTGAAAAATGAGGTGGACTATGTGCCATGCAGTCTAGTTATCTTGAGTGTGGCATTAGTGGGCTTATCTGATGAAGGCACGGCTCTGAGGGTGTGTAATGGGATTGGAGCTGACGCAGGCATGTGGCTGAAGTAAGTGTACTGATAGGTGGGTGCCAGAGGGAGGTCTTACCCCTGCTGCTCCGGGGAAGGCAGGACGTGGGATGCCCGGAAGACCCAGCTTGTTGTGGATGGCAGTGGCAGAGACGATCTGGGCCGAGGACATGGAGGCCATACTCTGAAGAGCTTTGTCCTTCACACTCTGATCCTTCAATAACATTTCCAAAAGAATTAGGGTACAGACAAAGTGAGGTAGGAGTTAAACGGTTTCTGCAACAACACGGTTCGGTATACAGTGGGGAAAAAAGTATTTAGTTAGTCACCAATTGTGCAAGTTCTCCCACTTAAAAAGATGAGAGAGGCCTGTAATTTTCATAATAGGTATACCTCAACTATGAGAGACAAAATGAGAAAAAAAAATCCAGAAAATCCCATTGTAGGATTTTTTAAGAATTTATCTGTAAATTATGGTGGAAAATAAGTATTTGGTCAATAACAAAATTTCATCTCAATACTTTGTTATATACCCTTTGTTGGCAATGACAGAGGTCAAACGTTTTCTGTAAGTCTTCACAAGGTTTTCATACACTGTTGCTGGTATTTTGGCCCATTCCTCCATGCAGATCTCCTCTAGAGCAGTAATGTTTTGGGGCTGTCTCTGGGCAACACGTATTTTCAACTCCCTCCAAAGATCTTCTACGGGGTTGAGATCTGGAGACTGGCTAGGCCACTCCAGGACCTTGAAATGCTTCTTACGAAGCCACTCCTTCGTTGCCCGGGGAGAACTTGCACAATTGGTGGCTGACTAAATACTTTTTTGCCCCACTGTACATGTTTGTACCACGGTTTTATCTCATGCCTAACAATACCAAAAGTCTGAAATCACTAATGTAAATGCTTCCTGAATTGTTCTCTAAGTACTCTAATTATAACAAATTCACTAATTATAACAAAAATCTACACTACCAGTCATAAGTTTGGAATAGACAGACGTCTTAGAAAGAAGTCTCTTCTGCTCACCAAGGATGAATTTATTTGACCAAAAATACAGTCAAATTAGTAATTTTGTGAAATATTATTACAATTTAAAATAACTGTTTTCCATTTTCAAAGCAGAATTTTTAGCAGCCATTACTCCAGTCTTCAGTGTCACATGATCATTTAGGAATCATTCTAATATGCTGATTGGGTGATCAATAAACACCTTGTAAACCGTGATACACTACCATTCAAAATTTGGGGCTAAGATACTAAAAAAAATAAAATAAAATAAAATAAAAAAATATATATATAATACTTTTATTCAGCAAGGACACGTTATTTTGATCTCAAGTGATAGTAAATACAGTTGGGTCAAAATTTTACATACACTTTGTAGTATCTGCAAAATGTTAATTATTTTACCAAAATAAGAGGAATCATAAAAAATGCATGTTATTTTATTTAGTACAGATTTGAATAAGATTTTTCAAGATATTTCAAATAAAAGAGATTTACATATAGTTCACAAAAGAAAATAATAGTTGAATTTATAAAATGAAAACGTTTACATGCGCTTGTTTCTTAATACTGTGTTGTTAAATGGATGATCCACAGCTTAATGCATAATTTTTCCTTCTGGGGCATCAGTGAGCGTTTGAACCTTTTGTAATAGTTGCGTATGAGTCCCTCAGTTGTCCTCAGTGTGAAAAGATGGATCTCAAAATCATACAGTCATTGTCGGAAAGGGGCTGGAAAACAATTATTATCTCCTGTGGACTATATGTAAACATCTTTTATGTGAAATATCTTATTCAGATCTGTACTAAATAAAATAACATGCATTTTGGTCAAATAATTAACAATTTTGCAGATAATGTAAAGTGTATTTTCTGAATGGTAGTGAAAAATCTCCTCAACAGCTGGAGTAAAAGCTAAATTGAAAAATTAAAAAATGTAAGATTTATTTCAACTTTTCACTTAAATTGTTAGGTTAATTGTGTAAACTGGCTGCAATAATGACACTGGTTTAGTGGTTTTAATTAATAGTCATTACAAACATGGTGGGAAAAAAAATCCATATTTTCTGAACTGAAACTGACTACGGAACCGTGATACAGACCGAAATGTGAGAGATTTGAAACCATCACCCCCTGCAGTGAACACAGAACACAGGACAATAAAGCAGCCCACACCCTCACACACAAAGATCCACAGACAGAAAGCATGTTAAAAGATTTTTCAGAGCTATAAAGCCATTGATCTTAAGAGGAATGTGCTAGCATTAAAGACGAAAAGTCTGAAAAGAACGAAAGCCTCCAGCACAGAGTATGGGAGATGATAATGTTTAATATCATAGCGCGGAGCTGAAAGAGAACTAAATCCAATGAGAAGTGACATTGATGTTATATATTATTCCGCAGCTCCTACATGTCTAATAAAATGCATTGTGTCTGTCGGGAACAAGGGTTAAGTAATACTAACTTTTCTTTTCTGCTGTGTGTAATGTTCTATTCTAAAAGCTCCTATCAAGGTCATCAAACCGAGCCGAAACAGTACAGATGAATGCGTCAAAGAAAAGGGCCTGAAAGACATCATTTTCTCCTTTACACAACCTCCTAGTTATTTTCACAAGAAGGCTAAAGATGATCTCGCAGTATAGACTTTTAATAACACAAGGAATGCCCGTGCATAAATGGGTTTCTAAAACTGGTAATTTAATGAATCGAGCTAAAGTGTGTAAGTCTAAATGTTACAAAGGCAAACATTCCACATGCAAATTGTATAGCATGCACGACTGTAACAGGATGGAAGTCCTGCCTCTAAACACGTGAAACAGCCAGTGAATGGAGCACAACAGCATTGAAAAGACAGTTAAAAGCGGGCACAAGTTGAGGATAAACATGCTGGGTGGGAGCAGTGGCTCACGTATGGCTTAGAGAGAGGCAGAGAGGTTCAGAGCTCAAGCAGGTGTTTAGCAGCTGCTATACTGTGACGGCAACACGTCGATGCACGGTCAAGAGCACTGAGAACTGGTACTTACCATGCTTGTCACCTAAACGCAAACAAACAAGGTTTCATTGTCAATGTTCAGTTTGCACTTTTTGGCAAGTTCAATTCAAACAATCTACATGAATGAGATTTGTGGCAAGTCCACACATTTATAGATCTGATTTACAGATTTACTCCTGCTGAAAAGACCAGCATATGTTGTGTTTTGGATGCTGGTGCAGCACCAGGCTTTTTAACTAATTTAACTAATTTAACTAAATAGATTCCACCAGCTGCCATGTGACATGTCACGACACGGCAAAAATCAATGGTGCCATCTACACTGCGAGTGCTTGATGTGGTGTCTCAATTCAGTTGATGGATGTCACATTTCTCATTTTGACACGGTGCACAGCTACAATAGTAATTTAATTTATTTATTTATTTAAGTCATATATTGATGACTATTAAACATATTAATTATATGTCAAAACTTTTGGCTTTCCAGCTGTCTCCATATGCACAATTTCTTTTTCTTTTTTTTTTAATTCAGTAAGAAAAAGTTTTAGTTTAATTTGATTCAAAAGTCTCAAGTTGAAGTGCGTTTCTCAAAAGCATCATAAGTCAACTATGGTCACACATTTAATCATTACTAAGTTCACAGATTAAGTATTTCCCGAAACCATAGTTCCAACAAACATTTGCAAACATGTTGGAACTACAGCTCTCGACATGTGGTTTGAAGCACCGTTTCTTGTTAGTATGATGTGGATTTAGATAATTCTCTTGAGCACAGTAAGATGCTAACATGCAGTACATTCTATACATTTCATTTCATTTTAAATAAAAATATTTCTGTCATGGCAACTCTCGAAGGGATTGGCATGGTAATGTACGTGACAATGTTAATGTATTTGGTCTTGGCGGAATAGATCTGCTACGCTGCTGCTGCTGCTGTGGCAGAGCAAGTACCGAGACTTGCTACTGCCAATACATCTAAAACATGCTGCTGTGAGCATGTAAGAAATACTGCTGCTGCAAATATAACATACATGAAATAACCCCTATATAGCATACATGAATCACCTCGTAGCAGATTTATACAGGTGGAGCTGGGGAAGGTGGAGGGTTTCTGAAGCAAGCTGCAACTGCTACGGCAAGCACTAGTCATATATTTGAATGTTGAGCAGCAAGCTCATTGGCTACCAATACAGGAGAGAACCAATCAGCTGTGCCATGTGATAATGATGTCATTAGGTCAGACAGGGTTAGACCTATCGGACTGCGCCATCTAGAATTTCATGCCAGAACTCTGTATGTACACATTTCAATCAATATATTTTAGCACCTCAACAATCAGCACCATTTTTAAAGAGTGCATATGTGCAGAAATGCCTAAGAGAACCCAGGAGTACGACACAAGAGGGAACCCGCAATGAATCAAACATCAAATAAAGCAAAACTACAGGCATTAATAGTGAAGTAGTCCTCAGATGCCATGTTCGTTACAGCAGCATTTCAGATAAATTTCATTGTGGAGAAGGCTGCTGAATAAATAAAGTGTTCACCAATTACATAAAGCAAAACGTGAACGTGATTTTAAAAAATGAACAGCTTTCTTTGTTTTTTTATATGAATGAACTATATACTCAGACATTAATTGTGAATCGATGAATTAGCAGAAGGTGACCAATATATTATACAGTTTCAGGAAACAATTAGCTAGTTAAAGGCAGGGAAGGTGATTTGATTCAAGAACATTTTTTGTTATGCTGGTTGAAAGTCTCTTCACATCCCGATAGCAATCACTAAGTTAATTGGTTTAAATGTATTTGTATGTATTGATATCATCTGTGGAAGGTATAGGACCATAAAATGTTCGTCCAATCATTTCCCTCAGACCGAGGGCTGTACTACCTGCCTGTCAACGTATGTGTTTGCACACCTCCATGAACCCTGTTTGTGCAGACATGATATGTCATCAGCGCGTTCTATTATGCTATTGTAGACTGAGCGAGAATAGAAGGCGTTATTATTGTAATATTATGCGCTTTGTACTGTAATATTTTCTCACTAGTGAATGAGACATGAGATAAACTGACAGCGTTGAATTCAACCCTCCACCAATGCCGTCTCTCATCATGTCACTGGTTAGCCTCTGGTCTGCCTGTGCTGTTCATGTGTTTTGGAGGAGGCGTGGCTTTGGAGAGTGATTATGCAGGGAGGGTGGGATCTTATGCTTTCAAAGCTAGCTTTCTATTGCTAGCCTCTCTGAAATCGCCTACCCTATCTTTTACTGTATTTCTTCAACAATGCATTGTAGTATGGTAGTTAATCTGTGTGTTTTTTTCATTGTTTGGGAAACGTACCCCTGATTTGTCCATGGTTTGGTCACATGCAACTTGTGTACCAGCGGGTGAACAGGATGCTGACCAGTACAGAACTAGTCCTACCCAGCATAAACTAGAATTTAAATATTGGTCCATGCTGGTCTTTTCAGCAGTGATATAACACAGTGACTGAAATGTTGGTTAGATAACACTGCTTTCAAGGACTTGCTGAATATTTCTAATTTTGAATATGACCAAATTGTGAATTCAGTAATGAAAAAGTCATTTTTTTTATTTTATAACTATGCTTTTAGTCATATCCTTCCCATGATATGTTAAGCTCTCTGAAGTCACACCGCACATGCTAATAGTAAAACCAAGATTAAGGAGTCAGTGTGAGCGCTGGTCAAGTAGATGAACTGTAGAAAGCATCTTTAGGGAAGATTTATAGCTGATAATATGGCAGTTTGAGATCACTGTGGCTAGGGTTTCATTACAGACCAACTCAAAGAGTGGCACCATAATGACAGTCATTTCAGTCAACATGTCTCAGATAAGAGCACACTGGGCAGGTTTACTATAATGCTACGCTGCAAATGGCAGAAGGGAGCTCAAATTCTTCCCCGCTCCTGATTTCTAATTTGCTTTAGATGAGAGTAGACAGAGACCCATACAAAAGCTGGCTGTTTTTACTCAGGCAGCCGCCAGTGTCCCTGAAAGACTAGCCATTCATGGCGGAAATGCACACAGACGCTCCACTGGGCACACACACATACACTTACACATGCTCACAAATGGGGGAGTCATTAATACATCTGAGTAAACTGGGAACTGTGGAAAAGTGTGCTGGTCAAAAGGAGTTAGTCATCACCTCACAAAAAGAAAGAGAAAGAAACAGAAGGAGACAGAGAAGTCAGACCAACCTCAAGGTCTTTTCAGTAAACACAGACATTAGGAAACGACCCTTGCAGATGTATCTTAAATGACAGGTCAATTTATTATCAGATTATCCCTTCCACAAAAGGCCCCTTTTTTTGTAAGCCACAGCCTTTGTGGATGAGATGCATTTGATGTAAGGTGATTATATGCAGCACACTTTGCTGTTTATATGACTAAATCACATTGGGGGGTGACGACTGGAAATGGTGGGAGAGAATTGGGGGGGGGGGGGGGGGGGGGGTTTGGGTTTTTCTATAAAGACATGGTAGGTTTAGGGATCAGGGGGTGGAGATGGGTGGGTGGGTTCAGGGATGAGGGGGGGGGTGATTTCAGTTGTTTCATTAATGCAGCATAAGGAAAGCGTTTGACGGCCAGTGGGTTATTGAAAAAAAAAAGCCAAGAGAAAGAGCGAGAAGAGAGGGGAATGCAAAAAAATGCATCTGAGCGACGGCCTTAATGGGCCTCTTTGGTCCAGACTTCTTGTGCAGAGCGTTTGGGAAGAACAGATGACCTTATTAAACTCTAGGAGAGATAAAGGCAAAGCAGCGCTGGTTTTACTCTAGACTGTGCTCTTCCTGTAGTCATGTGGCCGCTTGTGTTGTTTAAGCAGTGACCAGAATCCCGCTGAACACTGACCTCCAACTCTCAGCCACTCTCACCAGCTAAAGCGTACTGCCAGCATGAGACAACACTCCACACACGACACACATGCAAACACGAAACACAGAAATGCATTCATGTAACCAGCAAAGTGCACTGTGCTTCTGAGGCTTTGTTTCGTCATATAATGGTTTTCAAATGTTTATATCACACATCTTTAAAGGACTGTTTTATGGTCTCATGATAGTTGCATTTGCAGAGGCAACTATAAGTTATTCTAAGGTTGATTTACCTGAAAGGGGTGTAAACACTTTGTATGTCACTATCAAAACATTATTCTGTTTTTTGAGCATCCTGACATTGTAAAACTGAATAAACCAATAGTGTTGGTTTGGGGGCATGAATATTTGTTTGCCTGACCAATGGCAGACAGAGGGAGTTTTTAGGAAAACTAATATTTTTACAATTCTGCTGTTATTGCATGCATCTCTCTAAGTCAGATCTCACAATTAATTTGGTGAAGACAGCAGCATAGAAATTAGACTTTACCTTTCACATTAAACTTATACTTTAGTTGGAAATAGAGATTATACTTGACTAAAACTAAAAACTAAAATTAAAAAATAAATAAATAAATAAAACGAACTAAATTAAAACTATAAAAACACTGCTGTTACTTAAGAAAACTATTTCAGCTAGGTGCCAAGAGAGCATATATGATTTAAATTTAGTTTAACTTGATGTACTAAAATAACTAAAATTTAAATTAAAAAATTAATAAAAATATAGAGAGACATATAACAAAACCTACTAAATAAATGAGAAGAACACACAATAAAAATTACAATCTAAAATTAAAACGAAAAAAATAAAAAATACAAAAATAAAAACTAATTCAAAATCTAAAAAACTATAATAGTATCTCAATAATACTAAAATACCACTGCTACAAACTATAAAAAATATTTAAAAATGGATTTATAACTGAGCAGTAAACTTAATTTAAATATCTGCACTGTTTAGAAAAAAACCTGTATAGATGAGGGGTTTTTTATTATTTGCCTGTATCAGAATGTATGTGGAGGCTTTATTATGTAACAAATGCTTATTTATTAAAAGTCCATTTAGTCATTTATTAACTTCTATAAATTAATTTATAATTTAACATATTTTAAGGAATATTTCTGTATACCACAAAGATGGAACCTACAGATTTAGTTTGTGAACTTCTAAAAATACTGTCCCCAAAATTACAGGGATAGAAAACTGGGATTTATAAAACCTCAGTTCCAAATCGGTGAGCAGCAAAATTGTCCTGCATTATGGAACAAACTTAATAGTTGCCTTTGCTCTCCAGAGCTATTGAATTTCACATCCATATTCATTTCCAAAGCATATGCTGCTTTTCAGGTTTGTGGTATGTGCCGACACTTCCTGCACTCCTGCTATATTTAACTAGAAACCGCCGTGGGACCTATAGCATTAGACTCAGAGCACACGCACTTTGTGGTCAATGAGAGACAGAGGCCAAAATGGCCAGTAAAACAGACATTCACTGACAAGCGTGAAAGGAGGATGCACATCGGGGACGGGGTAGAGGCGTTTAATTATGTATGCTAAACAGGCCGTCGCATGCAAGCCATCTAGGTTACAGGAATTAGAGCAACAAGGCATTCACAGGAAACAGGAAGTGAGACACATGGCAACCACAAGCCCAAAAGCAGAAAAGCGCATACCTTTAGCTTGGAATGAAATTCGCGAGATTTCCTTCTGGCAAGAACCTGAATGTGACTAGACACCTGCGGGTTAGGGAAGGGGAGGAAAACAAAGGAACAGCCTGTAACCATGGCGATGAAAAGCCCCCCCTGCAACTGGGCAGAGCCAGACGTACCTTGATGGCAGCTTGGATTTCTCGAACTTTCTTTCTTGCTAAGACCTGTAAGTGACTAGACACCTCCGTTTTTCAAAACGAAACAAGAAAAGCAAAAAGAAAAAGCAATAAAGAATTACAGACATTTTTAACAGGCAAAACATTTGAGGAGGGCCTTCATAAAAAGGAAAGCGTGGCCAAGCCGGCCCGCTCAACTCCTCTCTTAAGTGAGCTGATTAAGGAGAATGCAGGCTTCTTAAGCACATTAAGAAAGCGCAGATGTGATCTTCTGTGTACTGAATGAGAATGGCCACGTCTAGTACTCTTCGGGGAGGAGAGCGAGAGCGGCCGCACGGGCCCCGGGGCCCTTTAACCGCCGCTATGCATATTCCACTAAGTCAGAGTTCTGTTTGTGAATTATGTACTAATGGTGTATTAATAGTCATGTGAGGTGGGAGGTTGTGTGATGTTGTAACGAGGCTCTGCTCCAAGGGGTTACGTGGAGAGCGTTCCTCGTCTTAATCAGGCCAATCACACACAAGTGGCTGTTGAGCGGGCCTCACGCTCGACGCCGTGTGTTAATGAGGTCGGCGGTCTCCGGAGGCTCGCCGCTCTCGACTCTCCAGCCTGGCAAAGTCACATTTACACATATCTCAGCAGCACAAGTGGTCCTTTAACCTTTCCAAATTAATTACAACAATCACTTCAATGGTTCAGGCTAAGCCAGATTAAATTACAATGGGATTGTTGTGATGTTTCAGCGTTTGGGTCGATTTCTGGAGTTTTCACTTTGCTGCGAGTTTAAGGTGTGTCAATCTTTTATAATATCATACACATATATAGTAAGGATGTTCTGGGTTAAACACAATTTACGCTCTGTCAACAGAATCTGTTGCATGCTGCCGATTACAAAACCTAATAATTAAAATTTAGGCCTCAGTTTGTATATCAAATTTGTATATCAAATCAAGTTTACTGCACTTTGCACTTTTTAATTGGAAGTTCTGAATTCAAATGGAGAAAAGTTGTAGCAAATATGTATGGTCATTTTTTTTTTTACTTTTTTTAGTACATTGTTAGTTCATGTTACCTCAGGTCCATTAAAAATATCAACAGGTACAATTTTGATTTTAATAATGTATTAGTAAATAATGAAATTAACACTAATATTAAGTACTTTTTCATTGTTAGTGAAACCTTATTGTACCGATATTTGATTGTTGAATGCAGTAACTGACCAATCATAATTGATTATTTTAGACAGTGAGTATCAAAATCTTATTCTAACATGTAAAGTTGAATTATGCTATTTAACATACTTAAATTAGCGTGATCATTTAGATATTGTGCTGCTAAATCACTTTAGCACTGATTCACTCTTAACCCCCTTTTTGTTTGTTTGAGGGATCAGAAAGCCTGGCCTGGATACTATATAACCCGGAATATTCATATATCTCATTTAAAACAAAAGGATGTCTTGTATTACATTCCCTGTCTGCTGTAGTAAATCTAGCTGATAAAAGCTTTGAGACAGAGCCATCTAAGTACAGCCCACTGAAGTGTTACAGCTGCACCAGCACATACAGATCAACATTACAAATTACATTACAGTAAAAAAAAAAACAGATTCATGGATTTAAACAGACATTTCAGTTATGAACAGGTCATCTGTGTAAAAACATGTCTATTTAAATTATTATTATTTTTTTAATAATAAGCCTTTTGAAATCGTGATGCTTTGTGTTTACTAATGTGTGAGTGAGTGTCTTGGCCATAACTGTTCAGTGGCGTGTTCTCATACAGCTGAATGAAACATCTGCTGGCTGAGCCCACCGTTCAGGGTCCGTCTCTCCTACAATCGCTTTACGTGCTTGCACCCAGCCTGAACATGCTGCAAAGCTCCATGCTCCTGTATGAGTGGCTATGTGTGTGTGTGTGTGTGTGTGTGTGTGTGTGTGTGTGTGTGTGCGTGCATTGTACTAACCTATGTTTATGTGTGTGTATGAGCAGGGGTGGGCGATATTAGGGATTCACCAAAATGAAAATTTTTGGCCCGAAGCTGAAACCGAACAAAATGAAACACTGGGCCGAAGACTGAATACGTTTTTTCAAGTTTTTTTCCCCATGTATTTTGTCTTTTTTTTTTTTACCATTGCATAAATTAAATAGCCAAAATGTGCTTTTTACTGTTTTGTCTTGCTTTTCAAAGGAAAAGATCAATTATAAAACAACAATTTAAAAATATTTAACACTGAATATTTTTTAAATTCTAGCAGACATTATACCAACAAAGAACAATTTAACTTAAAATTAATAAGTTAGTAAAATAATATTTTTTGGCCATCAGACCCCCTTCTTGAATCAGGCATGTATTTTTTACTGTACAATTAAAAGCAGCCTTGCTGAGAAAAGACTTCTTTTAAAACATTAGAAAATATTACAGATCATAATTTGAAGTGTGTGTGTGCGTGCATTGTACTAACCTATGTTTATGTGTGTGTATGAGCAGGGGTGGGCGATATTAGGGATTCACCAAAATGAAAATTCTTGGCCCGAAGCTGAAACCGAACAAAATGAAACACTGGGCCGAAGACTGAATACGTTTTTTCAAGTTTTTTTCCCCATGTATTTTGTCTTTTTTTTTTTTACCATTGCATAAATTAAATAGCCAAAATGTGCTTTTTACTGTTTTGTCTTGCTTTTCAAAGGAAAAGATCAATTATAAAACAACAATTTAAAAATATTTAACACTGAATATTTTTTAAATTCTAGCAGACATTATACCAACAAAGAACAATTTAACTTAAAATTAATAAGTTAGTAAAATAATATTTTTTGGCCATCAGACCCCCTTCTTGAATCAGGCATGTATTTTTTACTGTACAATTAAAAGCAGCCTTGCTGAGAAAAGACTTCTTTTAAAACATTAGAAAATATTACAGATCATAATTTGAACACTATGTGTGAATGTTATAATAAATGTATTAACAGAGCTGTTGTAATGATTATTATCATTATTATTGTCTAACTTTTTATTTTATTTTACAGAACAACAGTAAAATTACAATACTAACATTTATGAATGTTGATGGAGTTCTTGCTTTTTCTCAACTTTTATTTTGAATACCACATGAAGACCTCAATGCTTCTTTTTGTTGACAGCAGATTTATAAATGAGTCTCATTACGAATACGTCGTACGTATCGCATTGTCACATGCCTTGTAAAAATTCATAAAAATGTGACTGAGCAACTGACGAGCGCAGATTTTCCTCGCGCTTTGGACTTTAAGCCCTGGTTAACAAGCAAGCGGCATCAGAATACGTGCGTGTATTAGAAAACATGACGTTATGCAGTTAATTTACTAATTGTTAAGTCTATTTCGTGATTTCAATCATCATACAGTAAACCAGCAACGATCACCCCTTCCTCTTTTCATCGAAGACATGCGATGCAGTACTAAACAGTCTCTCACTGTCGGTGCTTGTAATGATTTTTGCGTCTTTCTCTGACAGTTTTAAATGCTTCCACACTGCTGACATGTGTGCTGCATTATAAAGAGCGCTCATCTCACTCTGCGCTGGTTGCTATTTGATCGCGTCATATCATTGTTCGGTACGATTTATTCGGTCTTTTCGCTTATTCGGCCGAACCCCGAAATAGCTTTTTTTTTGCTATTTTCGGCCAAATAATTTCGGTTGCCGAACATTCGGTGCATCCCTAGGCGATATACTAATAAAGACGTTAGAAATTAGTCAAGAGAATTGGTTTTCCAATCACTTCAGCCGCCTAGATGCGAAGTAAAAGATGGAAGATGAAGGTAGTCTCAAATGCCCCACCCGTTTCACACCACAAGCAAAAGCAGTACATATTTTTCATAGCATGCCGAAATTTTTATCTATTTCCGACACATCTTTTAGGTTTTTTCTGAATAGGTGTTCTATTATACAACCAAATACAGGAGCAAACTATTCATTCATTGTTCAGTGAGGCTTTACAGGGCACACATACAGTCTATTCAGTAAATCTGACTGAATACAGACATTTTTAGCACTGTAGTTGTCAATTTTAGAATATTTTTATAATATATTTTTATATATCAATTGACACATATATTTAATTTAATAATAAAGTTATTTAATTATTATATATAATTCATTTCGTAAATTATAAGCTTATAGTTACAGTATATGTACTTGCCAACAAGAGAAGCCTTTTTTTCTTTGAATTGAAAAAAGTGATTCTGAGCAGATAATGTATTTAAAAATTGCAATTTAGATGACTGAACAAAATATATAATATAATTTTTTTCTGTAAAAATATATGCAGTATGTACAGAACATGATCAAAAACGAACACTGCAATAGACATTTTTCCTTATATCGCCCACCCCAAGTGGGAGTATCTCTTTATTTCTGCTGTTCATTGTGTGAGCTGTAAGATTTCTTCCTGCAAAAGCTCAGATAGCAGGTGCAAGAACAAGGATTCTCTTACCTGTTTCCGTGTCCTTGTCTTCCCAGTTCTGAGTTTAATGTATCTGGCAATCAGCTCATTCCGACCTACGGAAAGTCAATAGATGAGATGTGTTAATGTAAAAACTTTGGAAATGTAATACTTTAAATTCAATTAACCTAATCAAAGCAGGAATGCACGGCCTTGAGTTTGTATGCATGAGCCAAAATTTCTATAGCCTCAGTTGTTCCCACCCTGTTAGCAACATGTAGCAATCTTAAACCCAGCGAATGAACAAACACGCCTAATTTAAATGAAAAATTGGCCGTGCGTGCTATTACCATTAAAATAGCCCAACAACTCTACAGCCTTTCAATTTCATCTAATTTAATCCCAATTTGTTCAAAGCCTCACGCTATGAAAAGAAACAGATCCAGACTTGCATATGGTTACAGCACGTAATGGCACAGGAAACATATTCATTTAACACACTACTGTTCTCACTAAATAATAATTAAAGCATGGTTTTGTAGTGATCTCCAATTAATGGCAGCTCTACACATTCTTGCGCCCTCGGCACTGCTCTAATTACTGATGCTAGGCACAATGACCCCTGCTTAGCCTTTTCATATGTTAATAACATACCGCCACCCCAAAACTATTACGCAAATTATAGGTAAGGAGCCACTCTAATTATGTGTCCAGCTGTAGCCAACGGTTGCCATAGAGCTCTTGTTTTTTTTTTTATCCAGGACTGTGTAATAAAACTAGCTTTTTAAACAGCAACCGCAGAATTGATGTAGCTACAATTTACCACGTGTCCACCTAATTTACATTGGAACAACATTAAACTGTATTTACTGCTAAATATAATTAGCATAAAGTAAAAAGAATACTAAATAGAAACACATGAGATAGAAACACATGTCGGTTTGTGTACATATGTACAGTATGTATATGAAAAATTCTGAGATTGATTATGTTGGTCAAAAGAGAGAAAGATGTCATATTTACCATCACTCCCTCAGCCATTGTATTAGAAACACACACACAGCAGCATTAACCAGTTTAAATCCCAATGTGACAAAATACAAAATACAAAGAATAGTCTTAAACGTAGTACTTGTCAAAATTTTGGAAACATTATGAATTGTAAAAGCTCACCAAAGGTGCATTTATGAGCTCAGTAAAGACACTAATATTGTAAATAGTATTACAATTTAAAATAAATTTTCTATTGTAATATTTTAAAAAGTGATTTATTTCTGTGATGCAAGGTTTAATTTTCAGCATCATTAGGGATGCCAAAACAACCCAATAGCTGGGTTTGTCCCTTTTTAACCCAGCATTTTTTAGAGTGTGCTGACTTGCTACTTAAGAAACATTTCTTATTATTATCAAAGGTGATAACAGTTGTGCTGCTTCATATTTATGCAGAAACCATGATATACAAGCATTCAAATGTTTGGGGTGTATGTGTGTGGCAAATATGTATTACAAATTTATCAAAAGTGACAGTAAAAACTTTTATAACGCTACAAAATATTATATTTCAAATAAATGCTGTTCTTATGAACTTTTTATTCCTCAAAGAATCCTGAAAAATGTTTCCAAAAAATATTAAGCAGCAAATTTATTTTTTATATTTTACAATATTACTGTTTTTAGTGTATTTTTGGATACCTTTTATTAAAACCTGATATTATATAAATCATTCAAATCTGCTTTAGGTGTTTCTGCTTTTTCCTAAACCCACATAAATGCAGCCTTTGTGAACATAGACCAAATTAAAAACTTTTAAAAATTAAAAATGTTCCAAACCTTTGACAAGTACTGTATATTTAAAAGGAAATTACCTGAACTCAGCAAGACTTGCTATTTAAATTCCCATATAAACACCTAACAAATCACACATTAAAAGTAAAGGTAGATTTGTCGATAAAAGAAAAAAAAGGGAGGAACGGCAGCAGATGTGTTCAGGGTGAGGAGTGGGGTGACTGGCCATGGCGGTGGCTGGGCTGAGGTCTGTTGTTTGTGAAATGGGCACACACTGAGATTGCAAAGGCCCATCATCCACCTGCTGTGCACTGGGCTCGCTGTGTTCAGGTGGGATGGGTAATCTCCTGAGCTTCTGCTATTAGGCACACCTGTCGTGTGAAAGGGAATCTCTTTCTCACTCACCTCCTCTCTCTTACGTACCAGTCATTTTCCTTTCTGTCAGCAAAATCCTCATGAGCTTTAAAACCAAGGGGAATCGTAAAGAATGAACTGCACCTGCTGTTATTAGTTTTTTCGCTGCATGTCCTGTGTAAGTTTTAGCACTCGCTAAATTAATTATGCAAATGAGGTAATGATGCGAACACGCTCTCAAGTCAGTGCTGAACACAATTTGTATGAAACTATTCCCAATATGGTTGTGAAGTAATTACTTAGTAATTACAAAGTATAAAGTAATTACTTATTCAAAATAAGTATTTCAGACTTTTAAGTTGTGATATAACATTACAACTGATTTTTTTCTTCTATTGTGACCTGCATCCAAGTGTAACAGATCATCCAAAAATAAAATGTTTGGTTCTATTCATCAGTTGTTAACTGGATTTGGGTATGTGGGCGTTGCACTCAAAAGTGTAGGAAGATAAACATGAGTTTGCAGGGGCAAGTTCAAGTGGATTAAATGATTGGAGAAGCCCTGCATCCTTAATAAGATCTATAACATGCATTTAGAAAATAGATAGGGTGAATTTTCATTCAATGTCTTTAACTATGTGATCATCAGCAATGTCAAAGTGTCCACATAACTCTGAAAAGCCCAAACTGGGCACCGAATCCTTTGAAGACTAAATTCTGGAAATACCCACAAACACGTACACATGTGGCAATATTGAGATGTCTATATGAAACGGTACAAACTCCCTCTACAAAGACCCTGAACTAGCACTCCCCAACACAGGCTGAGGCTAATGAGCATGTGATTCCAACATGCGTGCTTGATACATGTGCAGGCTGAATGGAGGGGCAGCTTTCTTTCTTCACGTAGGGCATTCTGATAAGGCTATAACAACGGCGGGAGATCATGTGACCTCCAGGACAAATAAATTGCATCTGGGGATTTTCAGTTCCAGCCCACCTCCCCAGCATGCCAACACTGTAATCTCTCTCAGATGAAGCCAGGGCCTCGCCACTTTCAATAATTCACACACTGTGTACACATAACATGACAATAAGGGCATTCATGCAGATGCCTGATTCCTAGATCAAAGCTTACAAACGGCCAGCTGTAAGCATGCTTACTGCTGAATAATTCATTCTTTTCACCGCCTTGAAAAAAACCCTGCTCAGTGGGACTTGGCCAGCACGCTTTCTTTCCTGTGTTTGCCATGCAAAACAACATTGGCAAAGTCAAAAAAAGAGGGTAAGGACACACTGGAGGTCCTGAAACCCCAGGAAACAAGCTGCCCCCCAATGACAGTAATAAGAGAAAATACTTTTTAAAGTAATATGTGTTCCAGTTTTATTCTAAAAGAGTGTGAACAGGTGCCCTGTATGTGGCTGTACTGTGAAGCCCTGATTCTGGCTCAACGCACAAAAAATTCATATTCAGATGTAAAAATAAAATATTAATAGTTCTGGGTACTGAAACTGATATGCAGTAGGGCTGCACACATTCGCCCAAAAATCTAATTGTGATTGTTTTGTCATATATTGCATTAATGAGTCAAGTCAATAAGAATATTTATGAATAATAATAATAAAAATAATAAAATAAAAACGGGAATCTGACATTTTTCGCTTTGTGTGAACAGGTCCATAGGAATGCACCAATTCAGTTTAAAGTCTCGTTTGTGGTGGATATTCATGGCGAATATATTCATTCAGCAATATGGTGTACATGAGAAGGATGGCAGAGCAGTGTGTGGGAACGGGGAGGATGTGAACTCTTGCAAGAGTTCACCAGTTGTCAGTCAAAACAGCAGGGAAAGGATTAGGTTTTTATGGCCTGACTAAAAAGCAGAGCACCGGGCAAAGGAGAAATCTGTTCTCTTGAGTAGGAAAAGGCTTCCCTTAATTTCAAAGACACCAGAGTATATATCAATAGTTCCTAAAACAGCAGAAGCCACACTCAGTGGGGCCTACCGGCACCCCTCTTTCTAGGATTGTCCCCAGCTGACTCTTCATTCAATTAGGAATGCATCTCCCCCTTTTGCACCAACTCCCTCAGAGGAAAGAGGAGCGGACTCCCTCCCAGCTCCCTACTGAGAGCTGTCAGCACTCCCACCTCAATTTAGACACTAACTCATCCTCCCTTGCTCAGACTTCACAGATATGCACCGACAGACTCTGGCCGTTGAAGGCTTTCCCTGAATAGGGTGTGTCTTTGATAATTTTGCAGTCTGGAGCCAAAGTGTGACTGTAGCTGGACGTTAGCTAAGCCAGAGAGCAATTAACAGTCCTGGAACAAGAGTTCACCCTCTTCTTACATCCGTCCATTCCTTGGTTACTGCATCCCCTCCTTGAACTGAGGAGGTTTACACAGCTGCTGCATTGGCCACTACTCCCCCCACGACCCCCCACTGCAGCCCACTTTACCACACATTCACTCTCACCTCTCAATGCTGTATCACACTTTTTAATTTGGATGAGGTTTCATTGCCTCATCTGGGCTGCTCTCAAACAGCTCGGTATAGCAAGCATTTTCTCTGTGTTTTATGGCTATTTCTCAGAGTTGCCAAAACACCCTAGCAGCAGTGGACTTTCAAATTACTAATCACCATTAATGTGTCAAGACTCAATATCTTTTCTCAGCTCACAATGACACCTTTCATCTTCAACTTGAAATGTTCATAAATTATAAAGTAATTTAGCATATATACATAAAGAAAAAAATATATACAGAAATATATATATTTATTTATTTATATATATTAGGGATGTAACGGTACACTACACGTATTCGTACCGAAAATTTCAGCAAATACAGCGTTGTTTGTAGAATTTTTTTTTTTCTTCAAATTTCAGTCTGGTCAAGTTGGCTAATTAACTGGACAATGATTTGATGAACCTGTTTTCAACCTGTTAGACCATATTGATCAAGCTGGTTAGAGAT